TAGGCGATGATCGAAAAGACTGCTAGCTGAATATGTGGAGAATTAGGCTATTAAATATAGCTAATTCAATTATCCCAAAAATATGTGAATGATGATTTCCCGTTTTCCGAGCAAAACTTTGATACACTTTTTTAGAAAAAAAGGTTGCATCTACTCGGTGATTTCAGGCATTGGATTTCATCTGCTTTATTTGTGTATTAGCTGGTGGCCCCAGTTATTATGCTGGTGCCGGTTGGGCTACGTTTGTTTGCATATTCGGCATGATGGTCACTCTCACACTCCTCGTCCTGTACTTATTTCGTATCGTCGACATGTTCCAACAAATGCCGTGGATTGTCAGTGTAAGTTTTATCCCTTATTAGTTAATTTTGCTAACAATTGTTATGATAAGACCTGCTTATTAGAAGCAATTCTGGCTAGGAGCCTCTTCCTGCTGCTGTTCTTTTGAAGTTTAAGCCAGTAACGGCGCCTACTGAGTTAGCCAGTGCGATAGTTTCACCAGCTGATGTTTCCTACTGCTGTACATGGACAAGAAACATCCTCCTAAAATTTCAGCTTTTCTGTTTCTCGAGATAGATAACTTCCACTCAAAATTTCATGTGCTCTCAAGTGCTTACTCAAAACTTGTCTTTTAATTTTTGCTCTCACACGTGAGAAAAAAGCATAGTCGTAAAATATCAGCCTTCTGAGTCGTCTGATTCTCGGTTTCGAACGGTAGGAACGACACAAAACTAAAGCGGGTTGTTGCGTTCGTTTGTAAAGGCGAGACCTATTTCCAGCAGAACTTGATGTTCTAAAAATTTGTTGTTTATAAAATTCTTATTTGTTTTCTTTTTTCTGATTTTAGGAAATGATTTTTTGCTTCGCCTGGGCAATATTCTTTTTCATTTGTGGTTGTGTGCTGGCAGTAGCCGCAGCACGATTCCATGGCGTTACCGGTTACGGCGCAGCGGCTGTAAGTTTTGATTGAATAAAAAAAAAGCAAATTTTGTTGTCTAGTACAATAACAGTACTGATAACGATCCAAGGTCGCCTATGCAATTGCTTTATGCAGGATTCGACAGAGCTCTCAACGCTTTCAAGTGCTGAAAGCAGCTACATCAGATTTTTTTTCCAGTGCTGCATGTGTTTGGCCGGTACTTACCTTTTGGTCAATTTATGCTCATTACCTTTTTTTTTCTTTGCGTGGATATTTGCTGGTACCGCCATTTTTGTGACTGTTGTGATTAGTAG